AGGAAATCCCCTCAGGCCATAGTTGGGAAAGGTGATTAAAATAAATAATTCCACAGAAGAAATGGAATATTATTTAAAGACTCCAGATGAGAGTGGTTTATTTCTGAACCTCAAAAGAAGGATGTGAAGGGAGTGTGCCAAGAGGGCCCTGTTGGGTCAGAAGGGGAGTACTTGCTGAACCTCTCAAGTCCACCATCTCCAGACCTGATCTGCTGGACAGAGGATTTGCCAGACCACAGGAGGTCAATGTTGTGAGTGAGTGGGTCTCTATTTCAGCAAGGCAAATAAATGGACCAACGCTTGCAACACGCTTAATAATGTTTACACTGTTGGCTTTTGCCGGCAGAGAGTATGCAAATGAAGTGCTGGTCAGCATTTTGTCACTGTTCATCTGCATAATCTATTCAAGCCATTTTTGCACAAGGGGTTTTTGCACAAAAACACTCAGTGTGGACACTTCCTTGTTGCACAAAAAGGGGTTTTTGCGCAAGATCCTTATGCCTCTAAAAACCCCTTGCACAAAAACGGCTCAAATAGATTAGCATTTTGTCGCTCTTCACTTGCATAATCAGCACTTCATTTGCATACTCTGCCAGCAAAAGCCCGCAGTGTAAACAAAGCCTTGGACTGCACTAATAACCCTGTCTAAGTCATGCCTACAGCCCTCCAAGGCTTATCAGCTCTCTTCATAAGGTGTTAGTGCTGTTACACAACTTTACTACATTGGCACAAGGAAGTTAGAAGATAAAGCATAAAAATCATGCTTACGCTTAGCAGCATAGGCGACACTGGCTGGGCTCTTTAGAGGTCAGCTAGAGCTAAATAACAGCACAGAACACGGAGAGTAGGCGTGGTGGCTGCTCTCTGACCCCCCACAGAAACAAAAAAGCGCCGCACCACATCCAGCATGCTCAACCATTTTTAAACAGTATCATCATTGCATGTAGACACCATCTACAGAAATTAAAAATAGCACTTGTTCCACTCAAAAGGACTATGGCATCACTTAAGCAGGCTACTTTTATAGCTACACGTCTATTAATGACAGGTATATCTATGGAGCCTATTACTGTAGCGTCCAATCGCCTATGCTCGTAGAACAGGGATTCTCAAACTGAGGTCCACAGCTGCCTTGCAGGTGCCCCCCCCCCCAACCTTTCCCTGTAGTGGGGAGCCCACAGTGGTGCTCCAGCCCTAAGGCCTCCCTTTTCCCCTCGCAAGTTTGGAGAGCCAGTGCCGGCTTACTGCTGTGGAGGGGGAAAAAGCCCTCAGTCTCGCCGTAAGTCCTCAGCCTCGCCGTAAGATCTGGCTTGAAGGGGGAGTAAGTGGCTTCCCGTGCTCCCTGGCTGGGAGGACTGCAGCTCACAGACGTGCTGCCTGGAGGTTTTCCCCACTGCTCCCATTGGCCAGAATGCAGCCAATGGGAACAGCAGGAGGTGGTGCCTGAGGTACAATGCCTGGGAGCAGTGGAAGAGGGAGGCGGGGGTGAAGCCCGGTAAGCATCCCTCATTTTTCTCATACCCAGACCCCACACCTTTATTCCCCTCATGCGCACACAGACACTGAGACCTCACACTCCCAGCCCACTCCTGTACTCTCCTTTGCTCTTGCACCCTCCCCCCTGGCCAGACACCCTACCCTCAGCCAGCTGCTGCACCTTCCCTCCTTTCCAGACCACCCACCTCTAACCTGCTCCTGCACCCTCTCTCTTGGCCAGACACCCTACCCTCAGCCCGCTGCTGCACCTTCCCTCCTTTCCAGACCACCCACCTCTAACCTGCTCCTGCACCCTCCCTCCTGGCTAGATCTCACACCATCACCCCTTTCTGCACCCAAACTCCCAGCCAGACCCCCACTTCCAGCCCATTACTTCCCACCCAGACCTCCCACTCACCCCCATCTTTATCCCACTTCCTGACAGCTCCCTCCCACACGCTGAACCTCTCACTTTTGGCCTCACCCCAAAGCCTAGGAGAGCTCACAAAATCTACTAACCCCAAATGAGTTAATCTGGCCTATGGGAAACCCTGAAACGTAGTCCTCCTTGCCCCCTCTCCCCTTCCCATGGGGCTGGAGTGCCAGGTTAGTGAGGTATTGGAAAGGCCACATTATTGGGGGGGGGGGAGGGGAGTTGTTTTTTGCCTTTCAGTTTTGTGTGATCCTCCAACTGATTTTTCTGTGGTTCAGTGGCCCCCAACCCAAAAAGGTTCCCCAGCCCTACCATAAAGACAACATTGAAACCTTTTGTTTTGGACATAAATTAATATTTTACTCTGGAGCTGGAACCAGGGTCGTGGTGAGGCTGCCCCTGAAGGGACAGTCCACAGCGCCACTCACCATGGGAGGGTGGTAGGAGAATTTTTAGTGCGTGCGCAGGCATGCACCTTATAGGGAACAGAGCTCTCCAGTGGCTTGGCAGAGGCTCCCAGCCTGCCACTGGTCCACAGATCAGTGGTTAGGAAATGCTGCTCTAGAAGACAGACATTGCCAATCGTTATTTTGGAAAGGGCTGCATTTTACATGGTGCCCTTAAAAAAAAAAAAATACAGAACAGGTTCATCTCGCTCACTCACGGTAAGGAATTCCACAGTCAAAGGACTGCTAAGAGTATGTCTACATTAGCCCCCTAGTTCGAACTAGGGGGCTAGTGTAGACAGACCCTAAGAGACTAATGTTCACTAACAATCTAGAAAGGAACTCAGTAGGATTTCCTAAAGCCTAATAAAATATGTGCTACATCAATAAACACTCTTGGGTTTACATTATTGATTTTTCTCTCTCCAGATAAATACTAGAATGGCGTTCCTTAAAAACAACACACACACACAGTCTCCTCTTTACCTTGCTCAAAGTTCAAGTCATGCAAGATCTTTGGAGTGCTGGAAGAATTTGAACTTTGGATGGCATCCCATTGCTGGTGAATGCACTGAATTTGAGAGGTGGTTGTAACAGTCTGCAGAATGACAGGATCAGTGGACCCAAGCTTTTTTATTTTTTTTTTAAATCAAAGACTTTGAAACTGGAAATGTGGGGAGGACTTGCAAAGTATTTTTACTGTCATTCTAAATCCGTGCTGTCCAACATGTGGCTCTCGGAGGAATGGTGTTAATCAAATAAACATATTCTTATGATTTGAAATCCTGTGTGCTGTCATTTTAAAATTGAGCGGTTGGATTGGCCTTGTCCCTATGAGAGAGAGAGAAATGGAAACATTGCCTCCTCAGCCCCTCCTGCTGCTATTGCCCTTCAGAATCTGACAATGACTCACACTGTATTTTACAAACTTCTGGATAGTAATAAAGTATCCACAATGGATTAAAATGGTAATTTTGATCTAATTAGTTCTATGGACACCATCACTGTACTATCAAGAGCCTCACATTCATTAATATAACCTAGCAATTAGGGATGTAAAATCCCATATGAAAAATTAACTGGTTAAACAGTATGTTTACCATCGTGCTGCTCTGGCCAGGCCAGGCAGAGCCCTCCGCATCACACGGCAGGGCCGCTCCAGCCATGCTGGACAGAACCCACTGCACCAGGGTGAGCAAGAGTAGTGCCAAAATGCCGAGTGGCCTCAGCAGGATGGCAACCGATGTCAAAGGGACCGCCCAGTCGGCAGGGATCTCGTTGGGGACGTAAGCCTTCTGGCTGGTGAGCTGAGGCCTAGTGCCGGGATCCCAGGCCGCAGCGTAGGAGACCTGGGGGTGTTCTGCCAGTCCTTGCTGCTGCACCTTGGTGGACTTGCTCTTCAGTGTCAGGGGCAGAGCCATCTCAGCTCCCTGGTGCAGGGCCTGTCAGCTCTGCACTTTAGCTGTTGGAACCGCTTGGGGCACTGAAGAGCCCACTCTAGGCTGGGACCCGCTGTGGCTATCCACGGTGGGGTGAAGGTCCCTGGCTGGGCCTGGGGGGCCAATTGTAGCAGTGCTCCCCTGCAGCTCCAAAGCGGGTGCATGGCCTGACACAGGTCCTTCGCCCACAGGCCCTCTGTCCTTTGGCACTGAGGGGATCCACTTCTTCTGCCACTTCCTAGGCACCAGTGAAGGGGAGCAGTGCAGGGTCAAGTCAGGCACCAGTGGTGCACTACACACCGAAGCCAATATACTTCGAGCCCTCCACAGCTGACCAAGTGCTGACATGGGATGAAGAGCCACCTCCATTAGGAGAGCCTTCAAGCAGATATCCCACTTCTTCTGGGTACCAGGGCCGGAGTTTTTATTAATACAACACTCGTCCTGCCTGTCACTTTCCCCCAGACACTTGAGACAACTGTTGTGCCGATCACTGATGGGCATTGCTGCTGGGTGCTAAACACAACTTCAAGCTGGGCTAACAGGGCATGCCCCACTTGAGGCAAAGACCCATCCAGGACTCTATTAACTAACAACAATGAACTATATGTAACATTGAACAAAACAGTCTATGTTAGGAAAATTGCTACAGCTCTTGTGATGCAAGACGAGGCACTCGAATCAACCATCATGGGTGGTAAGAAGGAAATGAGAGGGCACAACACTGCTATGGCAGAAATCTCACAACTGTGCGTGTGGGGGCACACACACACCTAAAATGGAATTGACACGAGCAAGCACTTGGAGAAGAACTACCCTTCCTCTTTAAACACCCGTTCGGCAGTCAGACCCTGCAGTTCCATTGACATTTGCATCAACTTTTGTACATTGACATCAGCGTGAATTAATCAAATGCTTTTCAATGCTTTGTTGAACATGGATGGAATATCAAATTGTGACTTCATGCCCCAATTTTGCAAATATACATGCTTAACACATAAGTGAGTAGTTCCATTTACTTCAGGGGGCTTGCTTGCATAAAGTTAAGCACATACATATATTAAAGTTTAGGGCCTAAACATCTACATTGTAAGACTGAAACGCTCACTGACAGCCCATAAAATCAGAGTGCTTCATGTGCACATAAGGCAAAAATACAGATTGAAATCAGCATTTGTTTATACCACGTGCAAGTCCACAGCTTACCTGGCCAGGCTCACTTTTCCACGTCCCCAGTCCAATAAGAGGCATCTTCTGCCCAGTGTGAAGCACAACAAAATCACATGTTGAAGACATTTTTACCTAAAGCAAAAGTTAATTTTTCCATTATAACTAGGAAGTTGCAACAGCTTATGTATCCTACACCATAAACAAAAACACAAAGTCCCAATTCTGCTCTCATGTTGCATGGCTGTATGTCTCCCTCCCTCCTATTTTCGGGGCACATGCACTACATTAAACAGTAATAAGTCATCAAGACCAGATGGTGTTCTGCAGTTTCATATTTGAGTTCCTTCAGAACTGGGTGAACTACTCACTGTGGGTTGTAACCTATCATTTAAATCAGTTTCTGTACCAGATAACTGGGGATAGTGAAGATAACACCAATTTTTTAAAAAGACTCCAAAGGTGATCCTGGCAAATTACAGCCCAATAAACCTAACCAGGCAGGTAATTTCAACCAGCTTGCAGTGAAGAACAAAATGATCAGACACATGGATTAACATGATTTGTGGGGAAAGAATCAACATGGCTTTTATAAAAGGAAAGCATGCTTCACCAATTCATTAGAATTCTTTGATGGGATCAACAAACATGTGGACAAGGCTGATCCACTGAATACAGTGTATTTGGACTTTCAAAAAGTCTTTGACAATGCCCCTCACCAAAGGCAAAATAAGCAGTTATTGGATACGAGTCAGAGGATTCATGAATCAGTAACTGGTTAAAAGACAAGAAATAGAGTAGGAATAAAATGGTCAGCTTTCAGAATGGGGACAGGTAAATAAAAACAGTAGCGTCCCCATGAATCTGCACTGGGACCCAACCCACAGTTAGGCTATGTCTAGACTGCAAGCCTCTTTCGAAAGAGAGCGTCTAGACTGCACGTTGAACTTTCGAAAAAGCGGCTTGCTTTTTCGAAAGAAAGCATCCAGTGAGTCTGGATGCTCTCTTTCGAAGAAGCCCTATTTACAATGAAGAACGCCTTCTTTCGAAAGAGGAACTTTCGAAAGAAGGCGTTCTTCCTCGTGAAATGAGGTTTACCGCCATCGAAAGAAAAGCCGCGTTCTTTCGATTTAATTTCGAAAGAACGCGGCTTGAGTCTGGACGCAGGTGAGGTTTTTTCGAAAAAAGGCTACTTTTTTCGAAAAAACTCCTGAGTCTGGACACAGCCTTAGAGAACTGCATCCTAGGATGTCAGAATACACAATGCAGCAACCTGGCACTACCTCTACTGAATACACAAGCTCAGGTGAAAAGAGATTCCATAATATCCCAGAAATTAATAAGAAGAATAGCAGAGAGAACACAAAACTAGAGAGCCATTTTTCAGGCTTAACTACAAAGTGCTTCTGCAGAGCTTATGGCCAAATCCTGCAGCAGTCAAAACTATGGCATTTCACCTCCTCAGAAATGAAGTTACACACCTGAGCAGCTTGTAGTCCTGCTCCTGCAACAGCTTGAATTTGGGGAGTGGTATCTGATTTTGTCCAAATTATTTGATGCGGGCAAGAGTTTGAGGACTAGAACAGATACAAGGAGACCCACATCATGCCTTCGTTTCTCCCCGTTTGCTAAAACAAAAGACAGAACTATGCAGCACTTTAAAGACTAACAAGATGGTTTATTAGGTGATAAGCTTTCGTGGGCCAGACCCACTTTCTCAGATCAATTTGGGAACAATCTTCCACAAATTGATCTGAGGAAGTGGGTCTGGCCCACGAAAGCTTATCACCTAATAAACCATCTTGTTAGTCTTTAAAGTGCTACATAGTTGTCTTTTGTTTTAGCTAGACCAGACTAACACGGCTGCATCTCTATCACTTTTCTCCCCTTTGGACACAGTTCCTTAACAATCACGAAAGAATGTTTCACCCCACCAACAGCTGAATGGTAACATGGATTCTATTAGAAATAAGAGTTTGGTGAGCAGATAAAAAACACGTTGCATCTGTACTTTAAATCCAGGACCTATTATTGTCAGTGTAGACAGGACCAGAGGCTTAATTTACCACTTCTGTTTATAGGAATAGTAGTCATCTGTTGCTGGAAAAAGAGGAAAAATAATGCAAGATGTAATTTTGATTTAGAAGAGAGAATTTAGGATTATCCAACAAGGTTGATGCCAGAGTATTCAAGCGCTCCTGAGGGTATAAGTTTGGCATAGCAAAATTCCTATTGGACTGTGTGCAGTCTTTCTGCTACTTTTGGTTATAGGAGAAGGAGGCACGTAATGAGCATTCTGCTGATGGTGGAAAATGTTTATCAAAGAGGAAGGTCTTGCAGCATGTGCTAATGGTGTTCTTATGGTTGAACTGTTAAAGGAAATCATGTTTCAGGATGCATTTCAAAGCCTGTTAGCTGATCCCAGCAAAAGTTGAGGAAGTTATTTTGTTTGGGAAGCACCACTATGGGAGCAAATTAAATTCTACCCACATTAGAGAGACAAGTTGTGTCACCAAAAGAGGTTGGTCCAATAAAAAGATAGCACAAGACAGTGAATGAGGTACTAATATCCCGGGACAGACATAGCTATAACAATTAGATTACCTAGTGCGGGTAAATGCACTTGTAAAGATCCACGAAGAGTAGCATTAGCTCAAGACTCATTTACTTGAGAAAATTACATGAAATATCTATTCTGGAACAAGCTATTCCACAGTGGCTATTCGGGAATAGCTTATTCTGCAATAGTTCTTCCGGTTAATTTCCCTGCATTGAGAGACTGATGAAAGAAGGCATATTTTGCTATGTCCTGCTATTCAGACCCTTGCCTTTGCACAGTTACAGCTCAGAGTGAATGGGGACTGAATGGCAGAACTTGTTTTTCAAATCACCTACCTACATATAAAAGACAGGTCTATTTACACCAAAGCTATAATTATAGTTGTGTATTCTTTTAACTGTATTGGCCAGTAGCATAAGTAACACGCTAGCTGAGCTGCATTTTAATAAATACAATTCACCCCAAACTCAGAACTTTAACCCAAAAGGCAAGGTTTGCATATATAATCAGTAACTGTTGGTAGAACACAAGTACAAAATTATCCCACTCCACATAGTACAGGATACAATTAGTCAGTAGGAGGGGAGGAGCATAAGTCAAAGTCTAGCATTTTTCTGTCCAGATGTCTCCCTCCACATGAATTGCTTTAAAGGCATCGCTATTTGTAAGGAAGAGCATAAAAGGTTCAGCTGCCTACAGTTATTTTTACAATTAAAAATAGAGAACAGTTTTTGTAGCAATGAAGACAAAAAATGAAAGTGTTAATATATAATTAAGCAATTACGGTTACTCCTGGGAATAATAAACAGGGTTTATTTCTCTGTACATGTATGTAAGGCCAGGAGAAGGAAAACTGAAGTTAAAGGGAAAAAGTCAAAGATTACGTGAAAGTAAAATAAACGCCATGAAGAGGAGTCTAAAGCAATTGCCAGAGATGTAAATTACATAAATTTATCAGCGTCCCTTTGCAATTCAGTCCAAGTCAGACACAACTTTTGCAAATCGTCCCACCGCACCGCGGGGATACCCGGACCAGCCTCGTGCAAAGCGGGTTAAATAGAAACGGGAATTAAATCAGCTTGAGGAAATCAGATCAGGAAACTCACCTCACACACGTTACTCTACCGTCTCTGTTTCCGCAAGGAGTTCAAAATGCAACAATTCTCCCCTGCTCTCAGCCTTATATTTCCGTTTCCGGGTTTTCTTGAATCAGTCAGAGCCAGCAGATTTTCCTTCCACTCGGGGCTCAAGCATGCACATTTATTAACGTGTTTCCTTATTTTGCAAAGTCCTTACTGCAACACAACAACTTCTACAGCAGCCTTTGGAAGCTTGCTGGGGATCGGAGAGGGTAGCACCGAAATTGACAAAGGGGGCTGCCCTATCAGGGCAAAACCCTGCCAGGATTTTAAAAGGATTCAAATACTAGAGTTAAAACCAGCTTTACATCCTGCCGCTGAGAGTTTTGCATGTAGAATTTTGTCGTGGGAGATTTTGCATTTAAAGCTATTTTTTCTTTTGGAAGAAGGGCTTTGCTTTTTAACATTTCTTCCTCTGCTGATGGAAAAATTGTCAGTGTTTCCTCTTCCTCCAAAATGTCTCTCACTCAGAGGCTATGTCTAGACTGCAGGCTTCTTTCGAAAGAGGCTCTTTCGAAAGCATCTTTCGAAAGAGCCTCTTTCGAAAGATCGCGTCTAGACTGCAGGCGGATCTTTCGAAAGAGCAAGCCGCTTTTTCGAAAGAGAGCACCCAGCGAGTCTGGATGCTCTCTTTCGAGGAAGCCCTATTTACATTGTAGAACGCCTTCTTTCGAAAGAGGAACTTTCGAAGGAAGGCGTTCTTCCTCGTGAAACGAGGTTTACCGCCATCGAAAGAAAAGCCGCGTTCTTTCGAAATAATTTCGAAAGAACGCGGCTTGAGTCTGGACGCAGGGGAAGTTTTTTCGGGAAAAGGCTACTTTTCCCGAAAAAACCCCTGAGTCTGGACACGGCCAGACTGTCACAATTTGTGACACAGCTCTTGGTCCCCATCCTCCAAATTCATGGCTAAGCAATTGATTGGCCTACGTAGTTATAAACCTGAGCAACAAGCCCTCTGTGACAAACAACCTGGGAAATCACTATTCAGTCACAGGAGACTAGGCACATCAAAGGAGAAATGGAATGGAAGACTGTTAGATGCACTTTGGATCATTTTAGTGTCAGTTTATGATGTTAATCGTTTAAATGCAGAGCCTCTCGGCTTTTGTTGTTTCTTTGCTTCTGACTTCATCAGGATTCTTTCCAACTGTTTGGATTTTCAGATTCATAGAAAAGGTTAAAAATTACCTCAACAGGATAACAAACTGCTCCCATCTATTTAAAAGGAAGGGTTTCAAAACAACAACACAAGAAGACAAACCATAGACCTCCGGAAGGAACACGTTGTTTGAGCATGTATTTTCCAGAAGTCTTTGTTGATTTTTTTTTGTTTGTTTTTGTTATTTTTTCCTCTCCCAACAACTTGTCTCTCACTTTTGGGAGATATTTCCCCCCACCAAAAGTCTTACACTATTTAAATCCAGAGTTTTGAATATTACCATTCCAGAAAAAAACGAATCTCAGGTTTTTCATTCCTTTTCCTGCTATAATGTTTGCAATAAGAGGCAGTAAAAGGAGGATGTTTACTGGGAAAACAAAGACAGATTTTACTGAAACTTACTCATCCTCAAATCTGTTTCCTTATTTAAGCAGGTTCACATCAAGGTTAACCTGGTACAAGTATATAGATTAATGCTGTGTAGGTACGGTCTTGCTCTTACTCCAGTCAATGGCAAAACTTTTAACTGATTGCAGTGAGAACAGGAGCTGTCCACGTGAGTGTGTAATATTCCTGTGTTCCTTGCACTTGTATAATTAAAAATGGCCATGACGGAGGAGAATCACATTCAGCTGTGACCTTGCACACACTCCATTTTTACAACCAACTCATAAAGCTGAGGATCTGGGAAGTAAGGTGGAGTTATAATGGAAACACTGATTTATAACTGCAACAGGGATTTTGGGATAAGTATTATATATGGCCCATTCATCTCGAGGGACGGTGGTAAGCAGCGGCAGTGATAATCTATGAGTTGTGCCTGGATCTGCAACTGCTTTCATGGCTTATTTGTCCAATATTGGTGCATGCGTGGCACCACCCCAGGCACGTGAAGCATGCGCAGTGCCGCCCCCACCCGGCCCGGCAGCCCCGGGCGGCACCCCCTACAATGGGGCGCCCCGGGCGGTAGCCCGGCTGGCCCGTACCTTGGGCCAGCTCTGCCTTGCTCCACTTGTTAGTTCACCAAAATGCCATTGTGCTGAAATCTCTTTCATCTTTGCTGTATTCAGTTGGTTCAAACCCAGAATGATCAGGCATCAGCAGGGTCACACTTCTCCATGGTGCATTCTGTCTCTTCCAAACAGAGTAAAGGAGCTGATGCTTATCAGTTACCTGTTTACACAGCTACATTCTTACATCCTAGTCTATACCTTTAAAAAAGGACAACTGTCTAGAGTTTACTTAAATAATGGATGTTAACAGAATACATCTCTAGCAAATAAATTGTCAGCCACATCTTGGCTTAGGTTTTTTATGTGCACTGAATTTTATATGAATAATTATGAATAAATACTAAGGATTGGAAGGAGGTTCCTGATGTGCTGCTTGCTCTAAAGGTTTTGAGAGAGTGAACATCACCTCCATGAAAGTCACTGAAGGTACTCAAGTTTGGGAGACTGCTACCTTCAGAAATATTAAAAGTAAACAGGAGGTAAGGTTACTTATAGTTGGAAGAGAAGGAGGACACGCAGCACAGAAAACATATAGATATAAAATAACTGGCTGCTTAAGGCAGCATTTATTTGTCTCTGCACATGTAAAAGACCAACAATTCCTTAAAAGTCTCAGAGGGGTATCCGTTTTAGTCTGTAACTTTAAACAATGAGTTGTCCTGTGGCACCTTAGAAACTAACAAATATAGATAGATAGATAGATAGATAGATAGATAGATAGATAGGGTGTATGGGGATAGATAGATAGATAGATAGATTGTATTATGAGTTTCATCTCATCTGAAAAAATGGGTTTTGATCACAAAAGTTCATGATTCTCTCCCTCTCTCTCTCTCTCTCTCTCTCTCGATAATCTCTAAAAGTATCATGGAACTACTCGATCTTTTTGAAACTCCTTAAAAGGTGTTCTGGGAAAAAAGTCCTAGAATTAAAAAGTGCAATTGCAAACCTGCTGAGGAATCAATAATTGTGTGCTACCATTTGTATGGGCCCTGGTAACCTGACACAAAGCCCTTTGTAGTCAAAAGGAAACATCTCACAGACAAGTGGAACTAAATGGAAGAACGGATGGCTACCTCCAGGTATTGCCACTCCCCTCAAAATTGGAGACTTGGGAAAAAGGGGGAAAGTATAAGTGTAGTTTAAGCAATGTTTCTAGCAGGGAAAGTCCCCCAGTGACCATTCTTTAACTCTGCTGCTCTTGCAATGAAGTGCAAACATCCAAAGCCGGGCTAACCTAATTGTGCAAGGGGCAGCAACTCCCTCCCCTGCCTGAGCAGCCCTGTCTACTGGTGCCACAAGTGGCTTCCTCCCCACCTTTGTAACATTGCAACCTATGAGGATGAGGGCAGATCTGCAGCATTCATCTGAGCTTCCTTCCCCACTCACCACTCTCTGAGCCTGCTCAATGAATTTGAAAAAAGTGCTACAGGAGCACCCAGCCCTGCTATTGGACCTCCCAGATACACCTCTGCATTCCTATTGGTAGAGAAAAGAAGGGGGGGGGGGAAGAAGAGTGAACTATCTTTTCAATCAGTGAGGCTGAGCCTGAAGAGGAACAACACCATAGGTAGCTTGTGGCTGGCTGGTGAGGGGAGAAGAGTAAGCCACTGGTAGCAACCAAGCACCATGACTGCTCACCTTTGTGTTCTGCATTTGCTGCTGCAGTTCTGTTCTTGCTTGGTCCTGCTGTGAGGGCAGGGGACTGGACTTGATAGCCTCTTGAGGTCCCTTCCAGTTCTGGTGTGCTATTGTTCTAAGAATGACTTAACCCAGCTGCTCCGGATTTCAGCCAGGAGCCAAACTTCAGTAGCATAGGCAGGGGCCCTTTTGTTGTGCTTGGGGAGCCTGCATTCCTTTCACTCTGGTGAGTGAATGAGAGAGGAGAGGAGAGGAGTACACAAAGCTGCCTGCATTCTTCCCATTTCTGGCTGGAGGGGAGGTGGGGGTGTTTTTCTGTGGTAGGAAACCAGCCCCCCTAAATGGCACCCGTGCACTCATGTCACAAATGGTGAAGACTCCATCACCATGGGCATGTCTACACAGCTGGGCTATAGCCAAAATAAGCTACGCAACTTCAGCTATGGCAACGTCCCTTACGCCTCCTAAAATGAGAGTTACGGGAGGTGGAGTAAGAAGTCCTCCAGCTCCACACTGTTACAACATGATGTTGAAATAACAGCTTGTCGTGTAGCCGCAGACTGTGTTATTTCGGAAAGTTATTCCGAAATAACACCACTGTATCGACATACCCCATGGCTACGTCTACACTGGCATCCTTTTCCGGAAATGCTTATAACGGAACAGTTTTCTGTTATAAGTATTTCCGGAAAAAGCGCGTCTACATGGGCAGGATGCTTTTCCGGAAAAGCACTTTTTCTGGAAAAGCGTCCATGCCAATGTAGACGCGCTTTTCCGCAAAAAAGCCCCGATCGTCATTTTCGCGATCGGGGCTTTTTTGCGGAAAAGAAATCTGTGCTGTCTACACTGGCCCTTTTCCGGAACAGTTTTCCGGAAAAGGACTTTTGCCCGAACGGGAGCAGCATAGTTTTTCCGGAAAAGCACTGATGATTTTACAGTAGATCGTCAGTGCTTTTCCGGAAATTCAAGGGGCCAGTGTAGACAGCTGGCAAGTTATTCCGGAAAAGCGGCTGCTTTTCCAGAATAAGTGGCCAGTGTAGACACAGCCCATGAATTAAATGTAAACAGCTTCAGAGGGGTAGCTGAGTTAGCCTGTGAAAATGTCCACGAACCATTTGAAACCGCTGTCCTATACACTGATTTTTTTTTTACGATCACATTGCACGTTTCTTGTGCACCGTTTTCAGCCTGCAATCCCCATTCCAATTCGTTCACAATTTGCAACAGCCTGGAGCTCCCCGGTCTCTAGCTAATCTCAGGAACGTCCGCTCCGGCGAAATACTTCGGGAGCTGCACAAATCTGCAAAGTCACGCTGACGCTGAAGCCATAGCATCGGGAAGGGAGGAGCCAGTGAGTTTCCTTTCTCTTTTCCCTGCCCAGCCTGTTCCCTCGCGAGATCCGGGAGAGTATAAAGCCAGGCACAGAGCGGTGCCTTGCGGCTGCTGTAATTGACTTAATCTGCACTTGATCGCTTTGTGGGCGCGTTAAGTGGCGTTTGAGGCTCCTACCGGTCCAGTAAGTGCGCTTCGGTGTCAGATGGATACATCTGCTCGTAGCAACATTTATGGCATAACGTGTTTTATCTACAGGACGGATTTGGGGGGTTAGGTTGTTTCTTGTTAAGCTTAACCTTGTCTCCCCTCTTGTCCTTTTCATATTTGTTCTTTTTTTTAATTGTATCCTTTGGTATATATGGTTGTGACTACTTTCTTCCACTATTTGATCTGAGGAAGTGGGTCTGGCCCACGAAAGCTCATCATCTAATAAACCATCTTGTTAGTCTTTAAAGTGCTACATTGTCCTGCATTTTGCTTCAACTACCCCAGACTAACACGGCTACATTTCTATCACTCCCTACAAAGGAGAGGATTTCTATACAAAGGTACGGATTCGAGCTGTGTGATCCTGCCTAATGCTGCTTGTAACTGGGTGTCTGGGTAAAAGTTTTCTTACTGTTTATTTTCTTAAATGGGGCTCTGTAACTTGGAGGGCGACAGAGCTCTTTGTGTTCTATGCTGGGCTTGAATTGCCTGCCTGGTTTCCAACCGCTTAAAAATAGCGTAATTGTTCTGTGTCGCGCCTTTTGATAGTTGAAGAGTATGGTGAACTAATTTTTCAGCCAGGAACATCTCTTGCCTTAGGGGGGAAAGGGGAAAATGAAGAGACTCTACCTAGAACAATCTACAAATATGCTCAAAAGTTTCAGAGGGGTAGCTGTTAGTCTGTAACTAAAACTTAAAAAAAACCCGAAAAACCTAGTCCTGCAGCATCTTGGAGACTAACAAAAAAGGTAACTCATGATACCAGCTACATTTTGGGTTTGTCTCTAAGGTGCTGAAAATATGTTGTTAGCAAAGCCTCTGGCTGGGAAGCTGCTTCTGAATGGGTCCTCGAAACAAATGGTGCCACTAATACGCTACTTTTTCTCACTACAAAGTGCCAGAGCGTTAAGCGTGCCAGTTGTGGGAATTCATACAAAGATTGTGATGCAGGCTGCTGATTTGTTCCTACGCAAGAAGGGGAAACAAAGACTCTTGGTAACCTTGAAATGGCATGCTACTGGCCCCTGATATGAAACTGAGTTCCTTTGGCTGCATATACCAATATCCTAGCAGCGTATTAATCTTTTAATGCCAGAAGTTTAGCAAAGAAATCTGGTTTGGACCTGTTGGGTTCTGGGAAATCTGGTTTGGATAGGGTTTCTCTCTAAGCTGATGAGTGTGGGAATTAACCCTATGTTGAGCTAGGACTAATGCCATGCTAGTTCTCCTTGGGCTGAGTTCTTTAGTGTGGGAGAGCAGGCCCTGGAGCAAGGTTCAGACAGCCATGTTAAGCAAAGCTAATTCAATGGCCTCATAACTGTGACCTCTTAGTCTGAATGGCAGAACAGAAGTGATTGGTGTTCAGCAAATTATAACAGGGTAATGCCACAGTTGTGATTAGTATCAGTGCTACTTTCCTTCTCTCCATCCCCCAATTATAGTAGAAGGGCTGGCTGGATGTTTTCTGGAATGCTCTCACGCCTGCTTTGAACTTGTTTTCAGGGGACACTGCAGGACCCAATTGTTTCATCTGGCTTTTGAAAATACAGGGGGATGTGAAGAATAACTAAGAACTGTATTTGTCATTTTTTAAATCACAGATAGGCTTCTCAAAGCAAAACTCTGCAGCTGGTGTATAAACTGAAAGGAAATAGCATAGTATTTAGCCCTGGGTGTTTTTCACCACACTATAGTCAGGAAATGCTGTTAAAATAGTTTTCTGTGGCTAGTTGTCATGTGTTGCGATACCAGACCATGGCGGAGACTTCAAAGTAGAAACTGCTGTAGGGAGAATCAAAAGTCTTTTCACTTGTTAATTCTCCACAACTGTTGTCTAACAAACCTTGTACAAACCCTTGCCAATTTCTTAAATAAATTCTACCCAATTGAAGCAGCTTGATTTTTGTGCATAGAGCTTTAAATGTGTGTACCCTTACATTTGTTGATGATTTTAAGAGCTTTGTGCCTGTGTATCTGGTTCTGCAACACAGCCACCTCCCTTAGCTTGTGCAAGGGCAACAATGTTTCTTTTGTTCAATCTTAAATAGTCTTGAAGAAGCGTATACTGTACTGTTGAGAGAGCACACTCAATCTCAAATTTGCTAATTCAGCACTACAATAAAATAACTGACTTTGTAAAAACTGGTACAAACTGTTAATTCAGATCTAAGCTGTTAGAGTAAAATGTACATGCATGGTGTTGTAAATGTTTGTTCCTAAAATTTTCCTGTTTCCTTTTCTCTTGGTGCCCCCCCTTCATTAACAAGTAAAATTAAAGCTTTTAAACTTACAGTATCCAAGATTGGTATGGTGTAATTCAAGGAAGGACATAAGTATTTGCTAGTATGCGTAGGAAGAATATCTGTTATCAAACCAATAGCATGGTGGAATGCTCAAGGTCTTAAACTGCATGTATCTGAAGATGAAACAGCCAGTAGCTTCCTTGTGTGAGTTGGTTCTGCTAACTCGTCTGAGTCATGATGCATAATAATATAATGGCAGAAGGCCAGTTTCCTTTCAAACCTTGAATTTTGCAGTGGGATTCTAGGTGGACTCTGTTTATATGCACGATAAACATTTAAATTACTTAGGGCAGAAAGGCGAAAGAAGGAATGTATCTAGTCCATGGAATCTTAGGTTGTATGAACACAGTTTCTTGGTATCTTGAGTAGTTTAGTCTGGATGTGTGGATTGCATTTGACATCTTTCCTAAACAGACTGTGTATGTCTGTGAGGTAAGCTACAAAACTGATAGCAACAGTCACTGCTTGAAATGTCTGTAGCCAATCCTGAGCTCATGGTTTAAATATATGGTTTAGCGTAGCTGTGATACCTAGGCACCAGAGTGTTTGGCAGACTAAACTTGCTTGCTGAACTCACTGACTGAAGTTTTGAGTCACACTCTAGTGGGGATTTTTACGGCAATAGTGCCAGTTGCTCCTTGAGTTGACAATGTCTAGGAAGCTACATTGTCTAACATGTCTCTAATATTCTAGCCCATCTCAAGATGTCTGCAGGAAATGCATATATTGGGAAATCAGCCCCTTACTTCAAAGCCACAGCTGTGATGCCAGATGGGCAGTTCAAAGACATCAGCCTCTCTGATTATATAGGTAAGTCCGAATACTTAGTCTACTGTGCACTACGCTCTTTTGTATGGCAGGAGACAACCTGAGATCAACCAGGAGATCTTGCATGATCTAAAAATAAAAAATATTGTATAAAGTGGAAACTAGGTCACATTACAAAGGATGAATATAAGCAAACAACACAGGTATGCAGGGGCAAGATTAGAAAGGCAAAGGCACAAAATGAGCTAAATCTAGCTAGAGAAATAAAGGGGAAACAAGATTCTCTATAAATATATTCAAAGCAAGAGGAAGACCAAGGACAGGGTAGGCCCATTGCTCAATGAAGAGGGAGAAATAACAGGAAACTTGGAAATGGCAGAGATGCTTAATGACTTCTTTCTTCTTGGTGAAAACCAAAACATTGATGGTGACGGGATGCCTAACATAGTGAATACATGTGGAATTGGAGTAAGATTAGAAGTTAAAATAAAAAAGGTTAAACATTATTTAGACAATTTGGATGTCTTGCAAGTCACCAGGGCGTGATAAAATGCATCCTAGAATACTAAAAGGTGCTGAGAGGAAGTATCTGAACCTTTAGTTTTCATCTTTGAAAAATCATGGAAACTGGGAGAGATTCCAGAAGACTAGAAAAGGACAAATATAGTGCCCATCTATAAAAAAGGAAATACAAATGACCAGGAAACTATAGACTAGTTAGTTAACTTTGCCAGGGAAGATAATGGAGTAAGTAGTTAAGGAATCCATCTGGAAGATGACAAGCTGATAGGTAACAGCCAGCATGAATGTATACAGAGCAAATCATGTCAAACCAATCTGATAGCTTTCTTTGATTGGATAAACTTAAAACAATAAATAATCTAGTAGCACCTTGAAGACTAACAAAACATGTAGATGGTATTTGATGGTACAGCCTACTTCTTCAGATGAGAGGAGTATTAGAAGTCCAGATCCAAGACTAAATGCTTCAAAGACATAAGTGGGGTTTCGGAGGGGTCTGTTTTGGGTCCAGTTCTGTTCAATATCTTAGTCAATGATTTAGATGATGGCATAGAGTACAATTATTAAGTTTGCAGATGATACAAAGCTGGGCGGGGGGGCTACAAGTGTTTTGGAGGATAGAGTAAATTCAAATGATCTGGACAAACTAGAGAAATGGTCTGAGGGTAAATAGGATGACGTTAAAGACAAATGCAAAGTACTCCACTTAGGGGAGAAACTGATTGTTCCTTCCTACAGAATCGGAAGTGATTGTCGAGGAAGGAGTACTGCTGAAAGGATTTAGGGGTCATAGCGGACTGCAAGTTAAACATGAGTCAACAGTGGGACACTGTTTGGGGTGGGGGCGGAAGCAAGCATGATTCTGGGATGTGTTAACAGGAATGTTGTGAGCAAGACCCAGAATTCATTCTTCTGCTCTACTCTGCACTGATTAGTCCTCAATTGGAGTATTGTGTCCAGTTTCTCCACACCTTTCTTGAAATGTGGTACCCAGAACTGAAGAAGGTCCAAAGAAGCGCAACAAACTATTCAAGGTCTAGAAAACAGGAGCTATGAAGCAAGGCTGAAGGAATTGAGGGTTCTTCAGTTTAGAAAACAAGACCAAGAGGGGACACGATAGTGGTTTTCAAGTATCTAGAAGGGTGTTACAAGGCGGAGGGAGAAATTGTTCTCCTTGGCCTTTGATAATAGGATAATAAGCAATGGGCTTAAATTGCAGCAAGGGAGGTTTAGGTTGGACATTAGGAAACCCTTCCTATCAGGGTGGCTAACCACTGGAATAAATTGCCTAGGGAGGTGGTGGAATTGCCATCCTTGAAGAAACTTGGATGTTTATCCAACCTGCTCTTATCAGGGATGATCTAGTGCCTGGTCCTGCCATGAGGGCAGGGGACTGGACTTGATGGCCTCTTGAGGTCCCTTCCAGTTCTAGGATTCTATGACTTCATCTCACTCCCCTGGTCAATCAACACCAGGTGAATAGCACAGCTGAAGTCAACATACTTCCGCAGTGTTTTCCATATGGTAAGGTCAGCAGGAGCTGTGCTCCTGTTGACTTTAGCTACTCTTCTCATCCTGGTGGAGTACCCAAATGGACAACGCTTGGTGGTCAATTTATTGGGTGTAAGCCAGTGTTTCTCAAGTGGTCCATGAAATCACTTTGAGAAACCTGGTAACTGGCCACTCGGGGGGGAGGGGGGGAGAGGGGGTGTGTGTGTGTGTGTGTGCGCGTGTGGTTTTTTTTTTTTTTTTTTTACTGGCACTGTGGCCATGTAGCCTCACTGCTCCCTTTGGCTGCAGACAGCAAACCAGAGCCAATGGGAGCTGAGAGGCACCATGGCACCAGTAAATAAACACACCAGAGTGGCCAGTTTGAGAAACCTGTTAAGTGGTTTTGTGGACCACTTTGGGAAACACTGGTCTAAGTAAAAGTTGATGGTAGGGATGTCAATAGTTAACTGGTGGGCCTGACCTGGCCAGAGCAACTTGCCATGCCACAGGCTGGGGGCCACTCCTGTCTGGCCCCACTTAAGCAGTTAACTGGTTAGCCATTATGTTTAACTAAACAGGATTTTACCTCCCTAGTTGGTGGTCATCCTTTAAATTACCCACTTATAACATACATGTGCAATAGTTTGGTTAAATCCAGAGCTGGCATAGTAGGGTTATTGCTAGTACAGGTCAGGCTTCATTTACAAAGCTGTGAGGAATCTGGCAATATTAGCCCTTTTTCTTGATTGTAGCAAATGCTGCAGATCCCAAACTTTAAGGTTAAATTTTTAGAATAACATCCAAGTCCTTCATGGTATATCTAACAATATATTAAGGATATTAATTATCAGAAGATTTACCTGGCATTGCTTGGGTCCTTAATGGAAACAAGTTTTTGTTTTTCCTTCATTTAAATCATTATTTTGGGGCACGGTTCATTCATTATGCAGATTGCCCCACAGAGGAGAGGACAACCTCAGCCCTCTCTCCGGCAGCATGGAGCCAGGTGGGAAGTACTTCTCCAGTACCACTGCAGCTCCAGTGGGCACAGCTTGGGGAAGCATGCCTGTGCCCCGGCTGGGAGACACACACACACTCTGAAATATATAGTTGATAGCTTTCCCGTTTTCCACTCTTGCCCCCTTGTACTCCAGTGGGGTTATAGCTGTCCTGATCCCTTGCTGGCCTCCCACCCCCTGCCTCCATGGTCATTCTGCAGTATAACTCTCTCCTGCCAGACCCTTTTTTTCTCATAAAATGGAAAAGATCTAATTACACACACATCCCATTGTCCTGGCACAACCAAACCCTGACCTTGCTTTTAAATTTTTTATAACCGGAAGCTGCATACGAAGTTTGTGGTCCTAGCTCTTACCATTTAGGAGTTCTTAAACAGACTCTCGGACACACTTATTAAATTCATAAGAAATAATATAGTACGATCTACTATGGAACTGAACATTTCATAACCAGAAAATATACACAGCTTCTAGATGGAGGTTAACGGTATACCTAAAGCAAATGACCTCCTGGTCTAAAGGAGAAACAGCCTGTTCCTAAGTAACTGTAACACACAGGGTGTCTCATTGTGCGTGTTTGTACTTTTGAGATTAATGTAACTACCCAAGGAAGTCTAATGTACCCAAAGACTAACTTGTGTGTTGTTTGTGTATGTGTTTTTTTTCTAGGAAAATATGTTGTGTTCTTCTTCTATCCCCTTGACTTCACCTTTGTTTGTCCAACTGAAATTATTGCCTTCAGTGACAGGGCTGATGAGTTTAAGAAACTTAACTGTCAAGTAATTGGAGCTTCTGTTGACTCTCACTTCTGTCACCTTGCCTGGTAAGAATCTGAGGTTTATAATTTTAAATTAATTGCTATACTGGTTTTGAGTTGAAACTAAATGACATATTGGGTGTCTTCCATCTTTCATGCTTGTGACTTTTATGCTAGGTTTTCTTCTACATGGATCATTTGTTTCTAAGGTTACTATCTTCTGCTATATTCATATCTACAGCAATGCTGGCAAGCAGAATGTTACTAACAGAAATGTTCTGTTGAGATCAATCCCAGTAAATAAAGCAATATTCTTGGGTCAGAAGCCAATCTCATCTACTGCAGTTACCTTCTTACCCCAAGTCATTAACTATGTAGTTAATTGTGATATTCTGCAAAAAAGTGTTTTCCACCCCAAAAGTGTTCACTGCACTCATGTAAATTCCGCGCCCCCCCCCCCCCCCCCCCCACCACACACCCTCACCCCAACATACTCTAT